AGAAGTTAATGGTTGCACATAGCTTCTTGGTTAGATGAGGGACTTTGTGCCCACTTCCCATTCTCTGTGCTGGGATTTTTGTCTGGCTTGAAGTAGTATAGATCTTGTGCATGCTGTCAAAGTCTCTGTAATTTCAAATGTGCATTAGCCCTATTGTGTCTGAAAAATGCTGTTTCCTTGGAGTTGTTCATCACCTCTGCCTTTTATAGCTTTCTATTTTCATATATATGTGTGTGTGTGTGTGTGTGTGTGTGTGTGTGTGTATGTGTGTATGTGTATATATGTATATATATATATATATATATATATATATATATATATCCCTGAGACTTGAGGGGAGGGCTTTAATGGGCTTTCCATTTAGTACTGAGTGCTCCAAAGAACCTCACTCTCTGAATGTTGTCCAGTATTACTTATGTACTGCAAGATGTCTCCTTTATGATGAATGCTCAGTAATGTGATACTCCATGGATATAACAATATGTAGTTAGGAGTCATTTTATTTCTATGTTCATTTGGCAGAATAATTATAGTAGATTTTCCCTTGAGGCCTCTCACCTATCTAGTCTCAGGTTCTTGGCCTCATTAGTGTGTCAGGTATAAGTTCCATCTTGTAGAGCTGGCCTTAAATCCATTTAAAAGGTGATTGGTTATTCCTATAGTTTGTGCCACTATTGCACAGTCAGTGGGTATATCTTGCATACAGGTTGTTCTTATAGCTCACAGGGTCGACACCTGTGTGAGGGTGATGATTACTTTTCTTCTTCAGTAGTGTGTTTCATACCTTTCAACACTATGAACTCTAATTACCTGGAATGAAGCTTCTAATTGAGCATGAGCTTCTGAGTGCATCTTTGGTTTCATTTTCTTTTCATTCATCTCATTCTGCCACCTAGGCCCCTAACCACACACTCTATGAACTGAACTGTCCTCTTTCCTCTGTAGTTTGACTTCCTACTTGTTTTACAGTTTGAGGCATATTTGAATGTGAGCTGTGACACTGAAAGACTATGTATTGCTCTTGGCTACAGAATGTGACAACAATCTTGACCTTACTTTGCACATAGTTCTTATGATCATGTTTTTTCAACCTTGTTCAGGTAGTGATGTGTAGTAAAATTGATATAAAAAAATGAAATGAAAGTTAAACGAATGTGCTTTCTGTTAACTATCATCACAGTCTAGGGCCAGAGACAAGAGGATTGATATCTCTGATGCCCCAAACTACTTACCATTTTCTTCTTCTCCATTGCTAGATCTCAGTTCGTGTACAAGTTTTATTCTTTTCCTATGGCATTTAAGAATAATTTTTTGGTTTCAGGCTTGACTTTGAAGAGGATTTGGCACTATTGAGTTTTGTGCTGTGCAAGTGCTGCTGCAGGGAACTGAGGGGAGAGCATGGTCCAGCTGGGAAGCCAGGACATGAGTTAGAGCTCCAAGAGGAGATCCTGAGAGGTCATGACATGAAGCTGTGAAGCTGTGAGGATGAAGCCTGGATCGCCTTTCAGACCATGAGTTGAGTCAGAGCTACAGTGAGGAGATCCTGAGAGTTGTTTGCATGAGGCTGTGACAGTGAAGTCGGGATTGCCTTTTGAGACCACAAGATGGGTGCAGTGACCTATGACGATGTGCATGTGGACTTCAGTGTGGAAGAGTGGGCTTTGCTGGATTATTCCCAGAAGAATCTATACCAAGATGTGATGCTGGAGACCTACAGGCACCTCATTGCTGTGGGCTATAATACTGAAAAACATTGTCAAAGTTATAGAAGACATGGCAGGAATGAAAGAAATCATACTGGAGAGAAACTCGCTGAAATTACTCAGTGTGTTAAAGCCTTTGCATATCACAATCATCTTCAAATACATAAAAGAAGGCATAATGGAGAGAAACCCTATGCATGTAATAAATGTGATAAAGCCTTTGAATGTCAGAGTCGTCTACAAAGACATGAAGTAACTCATACTGGAGAGAAACCTTATGAATATAAACAGTGTGATAAAGCCTTTGCACATCTCAGTAGTCTCCAAACACATAAAAAACCTCATAATGGAGAGAAACCTTATAAATGTAATCAATGTGGTAAAGCCTATGCACATCGTAGTCGTCTCCAAATACATAATAGAACACATACAGGAGAGAAACCATACAAATGTAATCAATGTGATAAAGCCTTTTCACAACACAGTAATCTCAAAGTACATAAAAGAAGACATACAGGAGAGAAACGCTATGGATGTAGTAAATGTGATAAAGCCTTTTTTATATTACAGGGATCTCCATAGACATGAAAGAATACATACTGGAGAGAAACCTTTCAAATGTGATCAATGTGATAAAGCCTTTTCACATAAGTGTACACTTCAAAAGCATAAAAAAACTCATACTGGAGACAAACCTTATGAATGTAGTCAGTGTGGTAAAGCCTTTTTATGTCAAAAGAGTCTCAAAATACATAAAAGGACTCATTCTGGAGAGAAACCCTATGAATGTAATGAGTGTGGGAAAGCCTTTGTATGTCAAAGGAATCTCCAAAGACATAAAAGGACTCATACTGGAGAGAAACCTTATGAATGCAATGAATGTGGTAAAGGCTTTGCACATCACAATAGTCTTCAAGAACATAAAAGAACACATACTGGAGAGAAACCATACAAATGTATTCAATGTGATAAAGCCTTTTCACAATACAGTAATTTACAAAAGCATAAAAGAACACATACTGGAGTGAAACCCCACAAATGTAATCAATGTGATAAAGCCTTTTCTAGACATGCTCATCTTCAAGCTCATAAAAGAACACATACTGGAGAGAAACCTTATGAATGTAGTCAGTGTGGTAAGCTCTTCGCACATCAAGAGAGTCTCCAGTTACATAAAAGAACACATACTGGAGAGAAACCTTGTGAATGTAATGAGTGTGGTAAAACCTTTGTATGTCAAAAGAGTCTCCAAGTACATAAAAGAACTCATACTGGAGAGAAACCTTATGAATGTCATCAATGTGGTAAAGCTTTTGCCTATAACAATAGTCTCCAAATACATAAAAGAACACATACTGGAGAGAAACCACACACATGTAATCAATGTGATAAAGCCTTTACAAAATACAGTTATCTCCAAATACATAAAAGAAGACATACTGGAGAGAAACCTTATGAATGTAATCAGTGTGATAAAGCCTTCCCATGTCGAAGGAGTCTCCAAAGACATAAAAGAAAACATCTTGAGGAGATAGATGCCATATGAATGAAATTAGTGTGATAAAACTTTGCATATCAAAGTAGTCTCCAAATATATAAAAGAAGACATACTGGAGAGAAACCCTATGAATGTAATTAATATGGTAAAGCCTTTGCATATCAGTACTCTTAAAAATCATAAGAAAATAATCATACTGTCAAGAAATCCTATAAATGTAATCAGTGTGGCAAACTTTTGCAATTCATGGTAGTCTTCATACACGAGGAAAACTTTTAGTGTGTAATTGAGCTGTTAAATCCTGTGCATATAACATTAATCTGACGATCTGAAAATAAATGAATACTGAAGGAAATCTGACTATAAAGGATTTGGTAAGATCATTAGCCAACATATGTACATTTAGTTACACGAGATTATTCTGGAAGAAAAAATCTAGCAAGTGTCAACAATCTCTTCAGCCATTAAGATGTTTTTATTTTGTTTGTACCTGCAATCTCACATAGACAAAGGGCCTATGAATTTAAACTATAAAACAACTTTTAGATTTCTTCTCTTCAATCACAGAAAAAAAGAAATCTATGAGTAAAACTTTATGGATATGTATTAGTGCATTTTCTGTTGCTGTAATAAAACATAATGCCTAAGTCAACTTATGAAAGAATTTAATTGGCCCTTGGTTCCTGAGAGATACTGGATCACAATGAAAGTGGCATGGCAACAATTGTCAGAAAGGGCAGCTAAAGCAAGAAGCTAAGAACTTACATCCTCAACTTGCACCACAAAGTAGAGAGTGGGAACTGGAAATGGTGTATGGATGAAAACTCTCTGGCCCACCCCTACTGACATACTTTATAGGCATGGCAGCATTTCCTAAATCTTCTGAAATACCACCAACTGAGAAGGATTGATTTCTCTGACTTCGGCCTACATGCTAGTTTTCTGTTACATGAACCTCTTCACAATGAAGAAAATCTCTGTAAGCCTTTTAAATGTTTCAAAATTTGTGTTACTAGAATGAATTCTTACAAGAGAAAAGCATTCATGAGGAAAATTTGTTTACAGATTGTAACTATGTGATGTCAGTGTGTCTTTGTATGATGATTATGTGCATGTGCATTCTGGTTTTCAAGAAGGTTAGACCCTTGGAGCTTTTTGTAGCATGATTTACAGAAAGTTGTCAAAAACCTAACTTTGGTCCTAGGAATGAACTTGTCTTAATTGTTTAGCCATGTCTCCAGGCCTTTAAATATTTTAAAACCTTTTACTATCATCTTGATATCAAGAAATAGGGAAGAACTGATACAAGAGGAAACCCTATTCATGTATATGATTTTGTAAGAACTTACACACCACAGTTGTCTTCAGTTTTTTTAAAAAAGGACTTCCTTCATCTCTTTAACCTCATAGCCTTGAAGGAATCAAATTACCATGTTCACACAAGACTGATGTTGGAGATCAGTGCATTGTGGTTCTATTTTGCAACATATGAGGTAGTTATTAAAGTGTGCTATACGTGTTGCAAATGTATTTAGTCAAATTCACTTTGTGGTCCTTATATTCCTTTGTGGCCCTTGTTCATCCTTGGTTGTGCTTTCACTTCTAGATAGATATTTTTCTATTGCAATGTATAGAAGAGGATGGCCATCATCTAAGTAGTCCATTGTTTATTTAAACATCAGGGAATGCTGATCATACTTTTCAAATAAGGGTGTCTGTGAAAAAGTGGTGGGTTTTATTCTTGGTTTTCTTTTTAATATTTTCACAAATTCCCTTAAGATTTTTTTTTTTTTATTCAGCCTGGGTTGGATGTCAGTTATTTGTCTGGAATACATTTGAACTCATGATTTCATGTGTCAGTCTCCAGTGTAAAAATCCAAGGGTAGGTGATAGACCCCTAACGTTTGCTATTTTTTTCAACATGTTTTAAAATGTTAATTTTAAATTGCTTAATAGAGGAGAATATAAGAAACATTAAATACCTCATGTGTACATCCAAAGCTGCACTTTCATCTCTGAAAGAGATGTAATGAGGTAAAATGATCAGCAATCAGCTGTACATATGCCACCAGTTTTCCCCTTTTCTCTGCTTATTTTATTAGCTTTGTGCAATTTTCCATTACACATGATTCATTATCTTCTTTACAAATGTGTAAAGTAAGAAATACATTATCCTTTTTACTCTTTTAAAAATGATGGCTAAAATGTCACAAATAAGAACTCTGTATGCTAATATTATCTTGATTTAGGACCTCTGCCACTGAAGAATCTAGGGCTTATGATGTTGCTTTGAGATACCTCTTTTTAAAACTGTCTCATTGAGTTGTTTAAGTGGTTTCTGTATTATTAATGAATTAATGTTGTATTCGTTGTAAAGTAGTGATAGATCCCAAAAAACTATAGTGTATTAGTTTGGACTTTAAAATAGTTCAACTTAGAGAAGCTTAACAATGGTGGTCTGAATGTCAGCTTAAATTTCACCAAGAAGCAGCGTGCATTACACTGGTGTGCTATTTAATACTTGTATGAGGAATAGCTAAATCTGGAGGGTGACAAATAATTGTTATCCATGACCTCCTCTGAGAAACCATTGTAACAAGTTTAATCTGACAGCAGACCCTAGGACCACCATCAGTGTTAATGGATGCTGCTAATTTTGACAGTTTAATAGAGAAAATCATGGTTTATTCCATCACCTTGATACATTATCTGCAGATAGGATAGGTAATTCTCATCTCTGTTGTACTTTTCTTGAGTATTGATCTTATTTTATTTTTTACAGTGCTTATTTTATGTGGCTTCAGCTCTGTCAGTTCATTTAGATTGTTTCAAAGCTCCACACCAGAACTTAAGGATTTAAAATGGCAGAGTAAAAATATTTGTACTCTATTCTGTCTGAAGTTACCCTCATACAACACAATACAGATTCCCATAGACAAATATTGCTGTAACTCCAAACTGAAATATTTGAAAAATGGTTACCACATGTAAAAAGAAGATCCTTGTAGAAAGAGATCTCTGAACTGACAGAACAAAGACATGGCTCTTCTGTTTGCAGTAGGTCACGATATATAGGGAGGAATGGGAGCATCCATAGATGTTTGGCAGCATGAAAGAGCAAGAAGAAAGCAAATAACGAATACACAAGTGCATTATTCTTACAGCAGGAAAGCAGAGGGAAAGATTGCCACAGACTCTTTGGTACTTGTTTTTCACGAAGGAGTAATTTTTTAACTTTTTCCAACATCTAATATGTATTCTCCATTTTTCTCACAAGCACACATGTATAAACTGTTCTGTCAGAACGAACTTCCATCTAGTCTAGAATGCAATACTATTCTCTCCTACCCCAGTATTCCTAAGAATATCTGGTCTTGGGGTGCTCAGTCCATTCAAAGGTAAGTAATTAAAAGGAAATGAGCATGGTCCATGAAAAATGCTACAACAAGAAGAAAATAAACCAGAAAACAAGTGACAACCCATGATGAAATTGTACAGGCCTAAGTGATGGTTTAATTTATGAAACAGTTAAACTTTTGAAATGAAAGACAGAGGACTCAGTGGTTAAGACATATACTGCTTAAGACATACTTCCTCCAACAAGGCCACATCTCCTAAATGTCACTTTCTATGAGCCTTTGAGGGGCCATTTTTATTCAAACCACACATTATTATTGTTGTTATATGTGGGGGGGGCATTCACACACAGGCACCTGCTTGATAAGGCAGCCGTACATAAGTTAGAGGACAACTTCTTGTAGGAGTTGATACTTTTCTGCCCCTGTGGGTTCTGTGAACTAAAATTAGGTCATCAGTTTGTGCATCCAGGACATTTACTCACTGAACCATCTTTTGGGCCCAAAAATACTTTTATTTCCTTCAAGTGTCTAGGTCCGTGTTCCAATTTGAACGACCTATGAATTTAATGGTCCCTATTACTCTTGAGCAGAGGTAGATTGCTAAGCATGTGGTGAACCATGGAGAACTGGCAGCTACCGCACTGGTGACTGACTGGCAGTTCAGCGTTGATGAAATGAGATCCTTCCCTTTGGTGACCTCAGGTTTTTCTTAGGAAAGTTTTCACTTGGAGACTATTTTTAGTCCAGTAGTTTATATTTACTGGAAATATGTGCTGCAATCCATAGGAAAATGTAATGGAATTCAGCTACTATCTCAAAAGCTACTATTTGGAAAGGTCAAGGTCTTTTCTGAAGGTCAAGCCATGGATTGACATGTCTTGGTGATATTTTAGCTTTTGTATATATATTATCCAATTCCTGCAATGATTTCCTTATATGATATATATGCTTTCAAGAATTCATAACAGTGTATTTTATCAGAAATGCTTATCAAGTTCCAAGGCCAAAGGATCTCCTGAATTAAGGCAAATTAAGCTTGGACCCTCCTTTCCTATACAGCCTTGGTGGTATTTATACTAACATTATAGACTCCTAACATTTACCTAACCACCTATAGGAATGTACTTTGGCACATAAATTTTTTTTCTGATATATTAACCAATATTAGCTCTTAGTTGACCTCCTTTACCTCTTCCCTTTTGGGTTGTAAAAGAAAGCCTGATGGTCATTGCCTGAGGAAAACTCTTGTCTGCCTTTATGATGCTGTAAGAACTCAAGCCTGGTGACCTTGCTTTAGCTAGAGCACTGCTATTGCATGGGTATATAACTGTAAAACTCAAAGACTGAGGAAGGATTTTGACTGGAGAGGATTTTGACTGGAGAACTAGATGGAGGTTTAGAAGAATGAGATGGAAGATGAGGAAGAGCCAGGTAGAGGAGAACAAGATGGGTAAGAATGAGATGAGAAAGACCAAGATGGGGCAGAATTAAGATGAGAGAATTAAGATAGAACTTAGAGGGGACAGCAGATGAATGCAGAGAGAAATCAGGCAAGAGAGGAGCTAGGCATGAGAAAAGAACTGAAGCTGAGGAGACAGAATTTTATCATAGAGGAATAAAGTATGACCTAACAGCTCGGTGTAATTAGATTATTTTACTGAAAATAATTCTTGCTGTTCATAGCTTTTCTTCTGGTTCCCTGGGAAATAGATTATTAAGGCTGGACCATAATAATATTAATAATAAAGTATGAATGGTGCTGATACTTAGAGAAAAAGGTTTTCATTTCAAGCGTGGGAAATAAGGGGCAAGGTCTTATTTTCCCAGACATAACAGCAAATGTATTACCAAATACATATTTGGTAGAGTTAAGTGGATTCTCAGACCAACTTAATCACTGAAACGTCATTGTGCTGATTGGAAGTGGTAGGTATGTTGAGTGTGACCAGCATTCTCTAGTTAACTGTCCTTTATAATTCTGAACATTAAAAAGGTTAAATTCAAAGTACATGTGTTTATGTGTCATGTGTTATTATAAATCATAGAAGGCAGTTATTAAATGTCTAATATAAATTTAAACAAAATGCCTATCTAGCATACTAAAGTTTAGAAGTGCAATCAGTCCCTTTAATTATAAGACTTTCTATTTTGCACTATTCATGGATATATATATATATATCCATATATATATATGATTCTTTAAAGTGAACTGCATGCTACCCAGTGACTAGGAAGCAGTATTGCAGGAGAGAAGGGAAATGTCATTAGTGATGCTGAGTATGGAGACAAGAGAACCAGGAAGAAACATGAACAAGCTGGGAATAAAATGGGTTATGAGAGTAGATCTAGAATTAACCTGCTGTTTAAATTTATGGCACGACTACAATGTTAGTATTAATAGAAGCACATTCTGCCAATAGACGTGGGTGTGTGTGTGTGTCTGTTCTGAATATTTTAAAATGAGACACTGACTTACATTCGTTGTCTCATTTTTGGAATCAAACCATCAACAATACGATGTATAATCTGAACTGATCCTGCGTATAAATAATAAAAGAAAAGGAGAACTGTAACTCTTCTGCTTTGAAAACATCACCCCCACCTCTGCTGGAGCAGAGCTGTAACTCTCCTGCTGGGGAAATCTTCCACTGACTGCTGGAACAGAGCTTTAACACTTGCATTGGGGAAGCTTTTCCCTTCGGAGCTACAAAACTTACAACTATGCATTTGAAAAGCATTCACTTATAAAAACCTGAGAGGTCTTCCTACTAAGAATTTCCATACATTGTTTAGCATAATAAACACTGTTCATTTTTTTTAAAAAAAAATATCACCTCTTAACACTACAGGATGCATCAATTTTAAGTTATCTTTTTCCTTAAAAGACAAAGCCTGGCCGGGCGGTGGTGGCGCACGCCTTTAGTCCCAGCACTCGGGAGGCAGAGGCAGGCGGATCTCTGTGAGTTCGAGGCCAGCCTGGTCT